AAAATTATGCCCTATATATGTTATATGAATTGTAATGCATTCTGCTGTCATATATAACAAATTAGAATTTAAAAAAAAAGACTTAAGGGAAAAAAGGGCTTGGGAGATAGCTCAGAGAGCATCCCTCAATTCAATTCCCTATACCAAAAAAAAAAAAATGGAGCCATCTTAAAAGACCTTTCACTGGCTTATTCTAGGATAATTTGAATATTGAAAATAATTGCTGTGATTGATTCATATCAAATATATAAATAATAATATTCAATAAAAAATCATGAAAGTATTTTTTAAAACTTACTATCCACTCTTAGGGGTAACTATTATAACTATTATAGCAGCTTATTACTCTGAAAATGGGTGAAAAGTGAAAGCTAAGAATATGTTCTACATTTCCAGTTGGGATTACATTTCAGATAAGTTAAGCCTAGTTAATAATGCCAATCCCTTTATGAAATATCAGCTAATAAATGTAAAAGGAAGGAAAGAGTAAGAAAAATCACTATTTTGCTACCTCTGGTGAAATAATTTAGTCAAAACTGATCAACTAGGTGAAAAAGTTGATGGGGAACTAGATATTCTCATGTGAAACTATTATCCCATGGATTATATGCTTGTTACGTTAGGAAAACATAATTTAATAGAGATCTGGCTGGTTCTACCTCAAATCAGTGATCAATTTCAGCATCACTAATAGTGGGACAGGCAGACAACATGCACCTTCGCAAACGATGCAACTGAAGGTATTTTTCTTAAAAAAAAAAAAGTGTCTAACCTGATCCAATCAAGGTTTCAGATGTAGCTTCTAGTTTACAGAAAATCCAGGGGATATGAATGTTATACACATGGGGAATATAGGGAAATAAGCCATGAAGAAACAAACAAATTCAAAGGTGAGGAGTTCTAAAGAAAAAGTGACCTGTCTCTTCAATAAGACAGTGTCAAAAATGTGGGAGGGGATCAGTATCAATGCTAATTTAAAGAGAATTAAGAAACGTATCTAACCAGGCGAGGTGGCACATGCCTGTGATCCCAGTGATTCATGAGGCTAAGACAGGAGGATCAAAAGTTCTAGACTAGCCTCAGTAAATTAGCAAGGCCATAAGAAACTCAGTGAGAACCTGTCTCAAAATTTAAAAGTTGGGGAACAGGGCTAGAGATGTAGCTCAGTGATGAAGCCCTTCTGTATTCAATCCCAGTATCAAAGTGAGAGAGAGGGAAAGAGAAAGAAGGAAGAGGAGGAGTAGGAGGAGGAGGAGGAGGAGGAGGAAAGAAAAGAAAGAAATCTAGATGCAATTATGGCCTTTGATTGACTCCCATTTTGAGCAGAAATAGCTGAAAAAGGAATTTTGGAGAAATAGTTTGAGAAATTTAAATGTGATTGAGTATTAAATAATATTAAGAGAGTTACTGTGGTTATGTGAGAAAATGTCCTTGTTTCCTAGAGATACATATTGAAATATTTATAATGGAATTATGATGTCTATAATTTGCTTAAATACTAAGAAGAAGCAAATATGGCAAAATGCCAATAACTGTTAAGTCTAGATGAGATGGTATGAGTATTCACTATGCACACATCTCTCTCTCTCTCTCTCTCTCTCTCTCTCTCTCTCTCTCTCTCTCTTTCTCATATTTTACTAGAAAGCAAGACAGTAAAATGATCAAATTTGAACCCTAGAAAGCTCACTCCCTAGCTTATTGGGAGATAAGAATGGAAGCAAAAGACCAGTGGGATGATTACTGCAAAATCCACCATGAGTGAGCACAGAGGTCTAGGTAGGGCAGTCAGGGGGAAGAGAGGTGAGCTGATATGAGATACACTTTGCCATACTAACCATAAAATTGTTGATAGGCTCCAGATGGAAGAGTCAGAGAGTCAACACTAATAACAAAAATTACTACCTACAAGGGTGCAGATAGATAGGAGAATAACTTCTGATGCTCTGTAGCACAGAAAGATGACTACGGTTAATTAACTATTTCAAAGTAAATGAAGAGAGGATTCTGAATGTTCCTAATACAAGGAAATAATAAATGTTTAAGGTGAGCTGGGGTTGTGGCTCAGTGGTAGAGTGCTTGCACGTGAGGGGCACTGGGTTTGATCCCCAGCACCACATGAAACTAGATAAATAAAATCAAGATATAAAAAATGTTTAAGGGATAGGTATGATCATTAACCGCTGTGTACATGTATTGAAATGTCACACTGTAGTCCATAAATATGTTCAATTACTATTTATCAATTAAAAGTAAATAAATGTTTTAAAACAAAGGAAAAAGTTCAAAAGACAATAAATACATTGTAAGCATTGTAAGGAGAGAAAAAAAAGATAATATTTTATGTTATGTTCAGTACGTGCTCGTCCAGTCCTTGTTCCCAGTGATCCACATGAATTTAATTCATATAATTCTCACCGTCACATTGTGAATTACTTACTAGTATTAGCCTCTCTGATTTACGCTGCTTGAGCACAGACAGATAAACAACTTGCCCAAGGTTATACCCCTAGTAGGTGGCACCATTGGAATTGGAATCCAAGCACGAACGCCTAACCATCCCTGGCCTTAAGAATGACGCCAGAACTATTAATGAAGACACACGAAAGAGTTCCTTTCTATTCACTTTTATGCTCCTCGTTTTAGGATTTATATTCCCAGACCCACGTAGCTTCCCTGGCCCCCACGGGAACTATAAGTAACCCATTTCGCCAATCTTGGGCGCAAAAGAGAGAGGTGGATGTGGTCCTTGAAGAGGAGCATAGTTAGGTCAAAAGGGGATAAGCCAAGTGGGAATTCTAGTGTGGCTCCTACTATTTGGTGGAGGAGGTGAAGGTTGCTTAGGTACCCCGCTAAGACAGGGCTCTTACGTCACGTGTGACGCAAATAAGCGTAAGAGCCGGGGGTGGAGATGTCGTCACCACCCGCCTGCGGTTGGCCGAGTTGCCTTGAGAGGGGCAAGTAGACCCCGCCTTGGAGGTGGGTGGGAAGTGGCAGGCCCCGCCTTGGCTCCGCTGGAAGGCTCCCGCCAGCGTCGCTGCGACTCTGGCGGGGGATCGAGCGCTTGGAGCCTGGAAGGATGCGGCGCCCGCGGCGGCCTGGGGGTCCCGGGGGATCCGGTGGTCTCCGGCTGCTCGTCTGCCTCCTGCTGCTGAGCAGCCACCCGGGAGGCTGCAGCGCCATTAGTGCCCACGGTCAGGAGGAAACTTGGGGGGTGGGGGCAATATGGGGCTGGGAGCAAAACTCGGTGCGGGGGTGGGGTGAGGGAAAGTGTCGTGAAGGTAAGAAGCCCAGGTAGAATATGTGTATGGGATGGGGTGGAGGAGGCACAGCGCGACGAGGACGATGAGAGGGACGAAAGGGGCGTAGGCCTGGAGGTGGGGCTGGGAATATGCGGGCGGGACCTAAGAGAAGTGGGCTCAGGAGAAAATTGCTGGTTCAGGAGGAGAAATGGACGTGCATGGGGGTAGAGGGGCTTAAAGACGGGCTACAGGACCTCGGGAGCAAGTCTTGCCGAGGCACCAGGGAGGTGGTGGCCCGTGGTGAAAAATGGGGGAGGGGGGGCAGGGAGGTAGGAAGAGGGAGAGGTAACGGTGATCTCTGGGCGTTAAGAGCTCGGGCCGTAGGCAACCCCTAGAGGATTGGGCTGGGGAAAAGGTCAGGATTTCTCTTTAAGTCTAGAGAGACCGGTTGCTGAGATCTAATCTCCTATAAGAGGGGCCAGCTGGGAGAGGGAGCAGAAGAGGATGAAGAGGGGAGGGTCGTTCTCTGTACCCCTCCCCACAGCCAGGCCTGGTGCTGACTCACATCTGTGCGGACAGAGGCTGTCAGCGCTGACTCACGGGCCGGGGGTGGGGGTGGGAAGGTGGCGCATGGGGGAAGGGGCGCAGCCTCGCCATCTGGCGCCCTCTTTCCCCACCCGGGCTTGGAGACCAACGCAGGGGTTCTTCCTGTGACGCTGTGGGTTAACAAGATGGAGCGGAGGGGTCAGGTCCTCTGGAGACTCCTCTCCCCTCAACCCCTCCCTCTCCCGCAATTCCCTCCTGAAAAGCCCTTCGCGGCTCCAGGCTTCAGCACCACGGACAGCACGGCGGCAGGGGTCTGGAACCGCTTGCCAGGAACACCCTGACCCTCTCCCCCCACGCGGGGGGAGGTGTATTAGACTTTCCGCCTCGTCTGAGTTCCAGGCTATTAAACTTAGGAGGCTTTCGAAGATTTGGGGAAGTAAATTTTCCTTCTGGATTTGGCGAAAACTCTCCCATAGTAATTTTATGAAAACAACAAGATCCTCTAACACGACTGTCCCCGCCCCCGCCCTTGCCTTGGGCAAGTTGCTTTCCTGTCTGTGCTCAAGCAGCGTAAAGCAGAAAGGCTGCTGCTTCTCAACTCAAGTAAAGTGACTGGAGGCTCTTAAGGATTCGGACTTTAAAATCCAGAGCCGGATCTCATGCTTTCTTCTGTTCAGGATTCTAGGCCTCTTCCCTACTCTCCTCCCAGATTAAAGGCTTTCTTAGAATGAAAGAATGGGCCCCGTCTGGTTTTCCTGTTTCCCTGACTTTCCATCCATCCTACCATTCTGTGTGGGGGTGTCTGAGCTTCTGCTTACCTGTCCCTCTACAGGCTGTTTATTTGATCGTAGACTCTGCTCTCACCTCGAAGTATGCATTCAGGGTGAGTAAGACCCAGGCATAGGACTCACAAGACAGAGAGGTACAACAAAAAACAAGTGGGAGTCCCAGAAGGGAGGAGAGGGGACAGTCTTGGGATAAGGAGCCCTGACCTTAAGGAACAAGAGAGAAGGTGGAGAAAGTGCTGTTCATTGGCAACCTGGACTTTGATAGGTCTCTTGTTCAATATTTCTGATACCACTTTTGTCCTCTTAGATGGCTTGTTTGGACAGTGCCAGGTGGGAGTGGGGCAGGCACGGCCCCTTTTGCAAGTCACCTCCCCAGTTCTCCAACGCTTACAAGGTGTGCTCCGACAGCTCATGTCTCAAGGTAAAATCTGGTTGCACTGGAGGAGAGAGATTCAAGCTTGGTTAGATATGAGTGGGGAAGTAAGGGACCACCTGACCCAAAGACTTCTCTTTCTGAAATATTCTTGTCATGCCAACTTCTGGAAACTCACCTTCCTAGATCTTGCTGGAGAAGGGGACAAGAAAAGGATGTGATAAAATCCTAAAGACTGGCTGTTCACGTCTGAACTCTGGATTCTAAAAGCACTGGAAGAAGCCAGCATCTGTCTCTTTAGGTCCAGTTTCACTCCCTGGGACTGTCTGAGTGTTCTCCACAGATTCTAAGGTCCTTAGGCAAGAGAACACCCCACTCATTCAATTCATTCATTCAGCACGTATCTATTGAGTATTTACTATGTGAGGGGGGGCAGGATGGGGCATAGTTCTAGATGTTGGGGATGTAACAGGGAATAAAACAAAGATCTCTGTCTATTGGGGTTTATGTTTGGAAGATAAGGGGAAGAAACACTATATTAGTTAGAAAATAAATAGTATGCTAGAAGGTAATAAATGGATATTAGGGTAGGCTAGAAAGTGCCATAGAACATTACAGCAGAATAAAGGGACCTGAAATGGTGAATTAGAAAGCTGCACTATACATTTTTGAATATATGTAAATTTTGAACAGACTATAAGGAGAAGGGAGAGTTTGCCAGGAGGTTATTCAAGGAAAGAGTGTTTCAGGCAGACCAAACAGCTAGGTCAAAAGCCCTAAGGCAGGAGCAAATTTTAGGAACACCATGGATGCCACTATAACTGATAGAAAAGTGACAGAAAGGAAAAATAGAAGTCACATTTGGGTTAGTAATGGAGGAAGGAATGTAGTCATTGTAGGGACTCAAGGGAATGTATGGCATTGGCTCCACTCTGAGTACAAGAGGAAACCATTGCAGGGTTTTAGCACAGTTGTGCATGATCTAACTTCTATTTTAAAAGGATTATTCTTGCTGCTGTGTTGAGAATACACAGAATGTAGAGAGAGTCAAGGTTTGAAGCAGGACGTCCAGTGAAAGCTGCCATAATAACTTGGGTAAGAGATGAAAGTAGTTTGGACTAGGTTGATGATGAAATACTAGATATGGCTGTAAAAAGAGAAGTCAGAAATGACATCCACATTGTATTGCCCAGACAACTGAATCAGTGGAGATGTCATTAACTATGATGGGGGAAATTGCACACACACACACACACAAAAAAAAAAAAAAAAAAAAAAAAAACTTTGGGTGAAGTTGGGCGATGTTTAGTTTTTGATATGTTGAGTTTAAAATGTCTGTGCAGGTAGGATGGAATTCAAACCTGTAAGATAGGATTTTGAGAGAGAGGACCAGAATAGAGTTATAAATTTGGGATTCTTTGGCATAGAGATGGCAAATATATCTATAAGGTAGATGGCTTAACCAAAGAATTGAGTATATATGAAGAAGAAGACTTAAGAATCAAGCCCTGGAGAATTCTTTTTGTGTGTATGAGAGTGGAGTGTACAGGGATTGAACTCAGGGGTACTCTGTGACTGAACCACATCCCCAGCCATGTTTTGTATTTTTTAAATATCTTTATTTATTTATTTTTACATGGTCTGAGGATTGAACCCAGTGCCTCACATGTGTGAGGCAGGTGCTCTACCACTGAGCTACAGCCCCAGCCCCCCTATTTTGTATTTTATTTAGAGAGAGGGTCTCTCTGAGTTGCTTAGTGCCTCATTTTTGCTGAGGCTGGCTTTGAACTCAAGATCCTCCTGCCTCAGCCTCCTGAGCCACTGGAATTACAGGCGGGCACTTCACCTGGCAAGCCCTGGAGAATTCTAATAACCTTTTCCCTGAATTACATCATGAAGTGTCCCATAATACAAGGCCTGAATTCTGAAGGGAGAGGGAAGATGGAAGGAGGGAGTAGTCTCAATGTTCCCATTCATAGTTTAAATGTATGACACATTTTGATTAAACTTAAAACATTTGATATTCTAGTGCAAATATAAATGGCAAATTAGAAAGCTGCAGTGTACATTTTTGAATATATGTAAATTTTGAACAGACTGTAAGGAGAAGGAAGAGTTTGCCAGGACTTTAAGGCCAAAAATACATTCTCCAAGTCAACTGCTCTGTATGTATGGCTCTGCAGGTCCAGTCCTCAGACTCAGAGGAATCTGTTAGGACCTAGGTGGATGGCCAGTTACCAGGCAGACTTTGTTAACTGTTAGAGTCCAACATGTAAGTTTAGGGGGTACTGTGACCCAGACTCAGCCACAGAAGGAAAGAGACTTTGAAGATGAGCTTATTTAGGTTAAGAAAGAAGGAGGAGGAAGAAAGTGAAAGGGGAGGAGGAGGAGGAGAAGGAGAAGAAGAGACTTAGAATCGGAAGCCAGTGAGGTAGGAGGAGTGTTCAATGTCCCAGATGCCAAGTGAAAATCTACCAAAGAGGGAGAGATCAACATTGTCAAATGATGATGACAGGTTAAGAAAAATGACATCTGGGAACTGGCCATTGGATTTAGATAAGCATAATTCACTGCTGACCTTGATGAAAGCAGCTTTGGCAAAGTAGTAGTAAAATCCTGAATAGAGGGGCTGGGGCTGGGGTTTAGTGGTAGAGCACTTGCCTTGCACACGTGAGGCACTGGGTTCGAGGCCCAGCACCACATATAAATAAATAAATAAATGAAATAAAGGTATTGTGTTCATCTACAACTAAAAAAAAACTAAAAAAAAATTAAAAATAAAATAAAATCCTGAATAGAGTAGATTGAGAGGGAATGGGAGGAAAGAAATTGGATAGAGTGTTGTAGTGTTGTAGATAAGTCTTTCAAGGAATCTTGCTACAAAGAAATGGGATCATAACTAAAGGGAAATGTGATGCCAAATAGTAGTTTTTTAAGATGGAAAAATATTGCATCATATTTTTATGCTGATGGCAACAATTCAGTAGAAAATGGAGAAGAGGATGATGTAGGAAATAGGGGAGAATTTCGGGGAGGGTGTTCTGGAGTAGGTAAGAGGGAATAGAATCTAGTGCTCAAGTGGAGGAATTAAGTTTAAATAGGAGCACAGGTAGTTAATCAAATATTAAAAGACAAGAAGGCAGAGAGAGATGTTGGTAGATCCCAGAATATTTGTCAAGAGCACCATAGATTATAAACCCAGAACATAGAAGAAAAAATGAGGGTAGAGAGAGGGAGATTTTTCTTTAAGAATGGGTGGCTGGTCTTTCCTGAGAGCAGAGTTTCATGGGGTTAAAGGGTCAAACAGAAGATCTGCTTCAAGGTAAGATGATGATTATAACAAATATGAGAATGATAATGATGCCAACCCTGATGAGGAGAGGATGTAGAAGTTTAAAGCAAATGTCCACTGATTTAGAGTTTTCTAAGCACTTTCATTTCCATGGTCACACTTGATCTTCACAATCACATTGTGAGCTATGTGATATTCCCATATGGAAACTGAGGTTCAGGAAAATAATAATAATAGCTATAATAATAGCATTGTTGAAAGTTCATTATGTGACAGACACTATTCTATTTAATATATGTTATTTTAGTTAATACAAATAACTCCCTTAGGAGAGGGCCAGGATGGTGGCTCAGGGGTAACGTGCTTGCCTAGCATGCACTGGGTTCAATTCTCAGCACCACATACAAATAAATAAAATAAAGGTCCATCAACAACTAAAAATTTTATATATATATCTTATATATATCTTAGGTGGTATAAATGCCCATCTTATGGAGGAGAGAATTGAGATAATTGAGGCTCAGCAATCTTCTCAAAATCACTGAATTTCTCGGTGGCAGAGGCAGATTCAAACCCAAGCAGTCTGACTGCAAAAGCTGGACCGGAGGGTGAGAAAAAGCAGCTCATATCACCCTGTGGGTCTCCAGCCTCCTCCACTGCCTCTCTGCTCTGCCAAACTCAATGCACTGCAGTGTAGGGGTTGTGCTTTTTGTGACTGGGCACCCAGACTCCTCACCCACTCTCACCTGTCATTGCCCAACAGGATTATCCTGGCATGATGACCTCACACAGTATGTGATCTCCCAGGAAATGGAGCGCATCCCCAGGCTTCGGCCCCCAGAGCCCCGGCCAAGGGACAGGTAGGCAGCCTTTCTCAGCAACCTTAGTGTATTGAGGCTGGTAGTGTGTGGTCTTCTTGATGGTGAGAAGGGAGGGGAAGGGAAGAAGAGGGTACCAAGGTCATCAGACTGAAACACAGATAAAAGAGATTCAGGAATGGTCACTCTCTGACATGCTCACATGCCCAGAAGGAGCTGGGTGCACTCTGGGGATCAAAAAAAAAGTATTAAAAATACACTCAAAAACATTATTTGAAAGTTTTAGACCCTGTCTCAAAAAAAAAAAAATTAGAAGGGCTGGGGTTGTAGTTCAGCAATAGAGTGCCCCTGCTTTCTATCCCTAGTACCACCAAAAAAGTCATTATTTGATATTTTATAAGAATCATAAAAGAGTCATCTTAGGCAGATTAGAATTTTGTTGAAGTTAACATTCAGTTTCATCACCATGTGGAATTGTTTATGGCGGAGAGATCACCATTTTTCCATGGCTAGGACCTCTAAGGCAGTGTCCAGACCCAGCAAAGCGGAAGAAGAGCAATGAGGTTCACTGAGCTCAGAAGAAAGCATGCGGCAGGGGTGGGGGTGACAGGGCAGTCTTGAATGTTTGAACATACACGAGGAGAACCAGCACACAAAAGGACAACTAGGCACACTGCAGCCACAGTTCATCTTTAGAGGCTCCAAGCTGCTTTTCCTGCTCCCATTCTGCCCTCCTCCAATCCTAGCCATATGCTTCCCTGGCCCCAGCAGCTCTGTTTGGGGACCTAGGCATGCTTACCAAGGAGGCAGATACCTCAACCCAGGCTTGTCTCTCTGACCTTCCCCAAGTCCTTCTGGTGCATCTCCTGTCCCCTGAGGTCACCTCATTTCTTAAGAGGTCAGACTTACTCGACCTGTCTGACCCCCTGCCCCCATCTCTTCCTCGTAAGCTCTCTATCCCCTTGCTGCATAAACCATCACACACACACTTTGCTTTCCTCCCCAGATCTGGCTTGGTGCCCAGGAGACCTGGTCCTGCTGGGGAGCTGCTTTCACAGGGCACCCCCACTGGTTCTTCCCCTGCTGCCCAGGGGCTTCCTCGACCTCCCATGGGTGGGGGTGGAGCTGGGGCAGGCTCCCCACTGTCCCCTCTGCAGGCTGAGTTGCTGCCTCCTCTCTTGGAGCATCTTCTGCTGCCCCCGCAGGCTCCCCACCCTGCCCTGAGTTATGAACCTACCTTGCTGCAGCCCTACCTGTTCCACCAGGTGAGCCCTTGACTCTGGCCCTTTCCCCGCCTTCCATCCCTCGGTTCTGACTTTTTCCCTTACTGGTATCTCTGAATTTCCACAGTTTGGCTCCCGTGATGGTTCCCGGAGCCCAGAGAGCTCATCAGGAATGGTCAGTGTTGGCCCCCTGCCCAAGGCCGAAGCTCCTCCCCTCTTCAGCAGAACTGCATCCAAGGGCATGTTTGGGGCCCATTCTGGTCACTCCTATGGGGACCTTCCTGGGCCCTCACCTGCTCAGCTTTTCCAGGATTCAGCATTGCTTTACTTGGCCCAGGACTTGCCAGTACCCAACAGGGCTAGGACACCAAGGCTACCAGAGCAAGGGGGCAGCAGTCGGGCAGAAGACTCTTCAGAGGGGTATGAGCAGGAAGGACGAGTGGATCGTGGGGAGAAGCCTCCTTCCCCAGCAGTGCAGCCAGGTAACAGACCTCAGCATCCACCTCCCTGACTAAGGAATCTGCTTTGGGAGAACCATGGGGTGCCTTCCTGACTACCCATGCATCTGTTGAAGTGTCATCCATACATTTAACTAGTGTCTACTGACAAGGTGATCCATGTAGGCACTAGCATAGATGGGAGTACTGTGGGGTGCAAACTGGATATTATTCTTCAGATGAAGAACTGAAATGCCCATAGAGGGCCTGGAGTTTGGTATTGGCTCCAGAGAGGTCTTTTCCCCAAAATGTGTACAAGGGCTGGGAAGGGGATGGTATCAGCGTCCTATTATTTAAGAAGAATCACTTAAATGTGCTAGTCCACCCTCCCAGTCAGTTCATTCCATCATCTGCCCTAAGCTCTGTGTCTGGCCCCCAGCGGATATAGCCCTGCAGAGACTGGCCACTGTCCTGTCGGGCTATGGAGTGGAGCTGCGTCAACTGACCCCTGA